TTGATGAAAAATCATGGATTACGTCCAACTGGTTCTGTACCATTGCCTGAAGTAAATGGTACTACATTGTCTGAAGCAAATACAATATTAAGACAAGAACGTGGACACGGACACAGACGTATACGTGGAATAAATCATGGAAGAAATAATCAACAAAGTTATCAACAACAAGGCAATAAATTCAAAAGGCACAAAGCAAACGAGAGCGGCAAATCTAAAAAGGAGCATGAAGAAAGTTGCTTCAGACATGGAATTAAAGGGCAGTAGGCACGTACGTGCCGTACCTCAAAATATCTTGTGGATCTCTACCAGAAATCAATCAAGGGAAAAGAAAAATTGGAGACTAATTTTGTTGATTATGATGGTCCAATTGATGTGACTCATTTGAATGTCTCCGATTTCTTTACTGATCCAAATAGAAATATTCACCATTTGGTTGGGGGTGGTGTGATAGAAGATATAGATTAATTTACTAGTATTTCTTTCGTTTTAAAAATTCAGTTTGAAATATGTTTTTACTTTTCCGCACAAAAATAAAAATAAAATAAAACTCTATTATGCACCGTTTATTTCATGATATTAAGTAATGTTTACTTCTTTAAATTTAAATTCAAGTTTTTTTAAAAATTTTGTTTATTTTGTTATATTTATAAATTCATGATGGATAATCAAGATAGTTGCTTAATTGATAGTGCAACTACACATACTATTTTTCAAGACAAAAAATACTTTTTGGACTTAATATATCGGGTGCGTCGAATATCGTTGAAAGCTCCGGAAAAACTTGTATTATTTTACCAAATAATACAAAATTATATATTGACGATGTACTTTATTCTAGTAAATTCAGAAGAAATTTGCTTAATTTTAAATATATTCGTTGCAATGAATATCACATTGAGACGATGCAAGAAACTAATGTTGAATATCTTTGCATCACTTCTTTTATATCTGGCAAGAAGCAAATAAAAGAAAAATTTCATGCACTCCCATCTGGCATTTATTTTACATTTATAAAAATGGTCGAATCAAATAATGTTACGAAACAGAAGTTCGTTGATTCAAAAAGTTTTATACTTTGACATGATCGACTTGGACATCCAGGAATCATAATGATGCGTCGAATAATAAACAACTCACATGGACATCCTTTAAAGAACCAGAAGATTCTTTTATCTAATGATTATCCATGTGTAGCTTGTTCGCAAGGCAAGTTAGTCATTAGACCTTCAACTACAAAGGTCAATATTGAATCTTCAGCTTTCTTGAAAAGAATACATGGAGATATATGTGGGCCAATACACCCACCATGTGGATCATTTCGTTACTTTATGGTATTAATTGATTCTTTTACAAGATGGTCACATGTTTGCCTACTTTCAACTAGGAATGTAGCATTTGCTAGATTATTTGCTCAAATCATAAAATTGCGAGCACAATTCTCCGATTACTCAATCAAGACTATTCGTTTTGACAATACTGATGAATTTAGATCACAAGCATTTGATGATTATTACATGTCAATTGGGATTGAAATTGAACATTCAATTGCACATATTCATACACAAAATGGTTTAGCGGAATCGTTTATTAAACATCTACAACTTATTGCTAGACCATTACTTATGAAAACAAAACTCCCAACTTCTGTTTGGGGTCATGCCATATTACATGCTGCATCATTGGTTCGTATAAGACCAACTGTCTATCATCAATATTCACCTTTACAACTTGCATTTGGTCATGAACCTGATATTTCTCACCTACGGATTCTTGGTTGTGCTGTCCAAGTTCCTATTTCACCCCCACAACGTACTAAAATGGGTCCCCAACGAAGACTTGAGATTTATGTGGGTTTTGATTCACCATCTATTATTAGATATCTTGAACCTTTAACGGATGACTTATTTACTGCACGTTTTGCAGATTGTCATTTTGATGAAATGACTTTCCCAACTTTGGGAGGAGAAAAATTACATCCTGAAAAATAAGATAGAATTTCTTGGAATGAGACAGCTCTATCTCACTTTGATCCCCGCTGCAATCAATGTGAACAAGAGGTTGAAAAAATCATTTATTTGCAAAGAGTTGCAATTCAACTACCTGATGTATTTGTTGACACGAGAAAAGTGACAAAGTTATATATTCCAGTAGAAAATATTACAGCAAAAATTAATGTCCCTGCAGGACAATCTACTGTGGCAAATGAATCTCAAATACGCCAGAAGCGTGGTCAACCAGTTGGTTCAAAAGACTCTGTACCTCGAAAAAGAAGAGTACAGGAGAAAAACCAACCAAAAGCTTCAGAAGAAATCACATTAGAAAAGATTGATCAATCAAATATTGAATGTACGGTTCCCGAAGAACCAGAGGTGTCCGAAAATAATGAGATCTCAATAAATTATATGATATCTCATAAATTATGGGAACGGAATAATATTGTTATAGACAATATTTTCGCCTTTAACATGGCTCTTGATATTATGCAAAATGAGGATTCTGAACCACAGTCTGTTAATGACTGTCGAAATAGAAATGATTAGCCAAAATGAAAAGAAGCCATACAGGTAAAATTGAATTTTTTGGAGAAACAAAAAGTGTTTGGACTAGTAGTTCGAATACCTGAAAATGTAATCCCTGTTGGATACAAATGAATTTTTGTATGAAAGAGAAATTACAAGATACAAAGTCCCACTAGTGGCTCAAGGTTTCTTTCAAAGACCTGGAATTGATTATGAGGAAACATATTTTCCCGTAATGGATACCATCACTTTTAGGTTCTTAATTAGTTTGATCGTGTCATAAGGGCTCGATATGCGCCTTATGGATGTAGTAACTGCCTACCTATATGGTTCACTTGACAGTGACATATATATGAAAGTCCCTGAAGGATTTAAAGTGCCAGGAATAAATGATACATATTCAAGAACTATGTTCTCAATTAAATTGTAAAAATCATTATATCGATTGAAACAATCCGGACGCATGTGGTATAATCCCCTTAACGAATAATTGTTGAAAGAGGGTTATAAAAATGACGATATCTGCCCATGTGTTTTCATAAAGAAAACAAATATTGGATTTACAATTGTGACAGTTTATGTTGATGATTTAAATTTAATTGGAACTCCTGAAGAGCTCAACAAAACTACAGATTATTTGAGAAATGAATTTGAGATGAAAGATTTGGGGAAAATCAAATTTTGTCTTGAATTACAAATTGAACATTTTCCAGAGGTATTATTTGTTCATCAATCTACTTATACAGAAAAAGTCTTGAAACACTTTTATATAGATAATGCACATCTATTGCCATCACCTATGGTTGTTCGATCACTTGATGTGAAAAAAAGATCCATTTCGTCCACTTGAAGATGGAGAAAAGATTCTTGGTCCTGAAGTACCATACCTTAGTGCAATTGTAGCATTAACTTATCTTGCAAATTGCACTCGACCTGACATAGTTTTTTCTGTAAATCTCCTTGCAAGTTATAGCTCTACACCAACTCAAAGGCATTGGAATGGTGTTAAACATAATTTTCGTTACCTAAAAGGTACTATTGATATGGGACTGTTTTATTCTCAAAAGTCAGGATCTGCTTTAGTGGGATATGCGGATGCAGGTTATCTCTCCAATCCACATAAAGCTAAATCACAAACAGGATATGTGTTTACACGTGGAGGAACAGCTATATCATGGAGATCTGTGAAGCAATCCTTGATAGTAACATCCTCAAATAATTCTGAGATTATTGCAATCCATGAAACAGGGCGAGAATGTGTATGGTTGAGCAATATGACCCATCATATCCAATCATCACGTGGATTGACTTCAACAAAAGATAGTCCAACAATTTTGTTTGAAGATAATGCAGCTTGTATCGCACAATTCAAGGGAGGCTATATCAAAGGCGACAGGACGAAACATATTTCTCCAAAATTCTTTCATACACATGAACTTCAGAAGAATTGTGACATTGATATTCAACAAATTCGCTCAAGTGACAATGTGGCTGATCTATTCACAAAAGCGCTGCCAATATCTACATTCAAGAAATTAGTTCATGAGATTAAAATGCGTCGACTCAAAGATTTTCAGTGATCAATATCAGGGGGAGTGGCTGTACTCTTTTTCCTTCGCTTAGATTTTGTCCTATTGGGTTTTCCTAACAAGGTTTTAATGAGACAGCATTTAATTTTAATACTCCAAAATAACTGTACTCTTTTTCCTTCGTTTGATTTTTTTTTTCCATTAGATTTTTGTCAAACAAGGTTTTAACGAGGCAAATATTTTGTAATATGTCATTCAAGGAGGAGTGTTGTAAATGAAAAGTCCATTAAAGTTTATTAATGAATGACATTTGTACCCTTGTAGCCCTAAAAATTATTACCATTGTATCCCTGATTCTTACCTATAAATATAGGGCTTTGGTTTTCAATAATACACATAAAAGTTTATTGAGTATTCTCTATTCTCTTTTCCTCTCATTTTATAACAGAATCCAATATTTTGACGACATAAAAGTTTAGCAATTTGGCTGTACTTATCCTGTTTCATTCGAGAGTGAGATTAGATTGGCATAAAGATAGGTTGTACCTAGGTTGTCGAAGGAGACGAGAAGGCTGTTGAAGTGGCATGCCTAATTCGTCCAGCAAGTTACAAACCCTTGAGGTTTCAGCTATGGCAGAAGCAACAGATGGGTACTCATCTTTAGTAGATGAACGAGCCACTGTCCGTTGCTTTTTAGAGCACCACGAAAGCCACCAATTAAACTCTGATATTGTGTAGCATCAATTGAAGAGTATTAATGATTGAGAGTCTCTTCTCATCAAAGTCATGAGCATAGACCAAAAAGTAAATTGTCAGAAATCCATTGATGTATAAAATGAGAGATGAAGACTTTCTCATGGAAATGGCCACTGACAGGGGAAGAGTGAGGGACCCCCGGGGGGGGGAGGTGGGGAACAATTATTTATTTATATATATATTTTTATATTGATCCGACATATAGAAATTTATTTATTTTCACCAGAATTGGGCTTGATGTAGGTCTGTGTTCTCTCTCCATCCCTGACCGCGGATGAAGGCGTTGTTGACAATTGACATCCACCTGATGAATAGGTCAGCCATAGACAAAGCAATGATGATAGTCAAGAGAGTTGGTGAAACCCTTTATAACAAGCAACACTCCCATTACAAAAAATTATTTGGAGCCTATAATGTTCTTTATATATCACACATAGCTACTCTTTGGTTTAAGGAAGAGGATATACACGGACAAAAGATTAAAAATCCAGAGCAAAAATTAGTGAAAAGAACCCTAAATAATGCACAATAAAGAGGCATGGCGGAGGCGGAATAGTAATGTCGAATCTACTTTCACCTCAACTTCTACTCCACCTTCTGCAGCGGTTCAGCAAATACTCAAACCAAGTTGAACAAATCCATTCCTTGTTAACCACCAATGGCTACTTCCATATTACCGATCAATGGATCAATACTCTCCTCTACAACACTCTCATCAGAGCCTACTTGAATCTCCGTCAACCCCGTACCACCCTCCTCCTCTTCACCCACATGCTTCACCACCAAGCGCCACCCAATAACCATACATTCCCTTCTGTCCTCAAAGCAATAACCTCTATTTCATCGCCCTATTTGGGCTTTAATTCGTGTTGTTCCTTTCATGGACAGTGTGCTAAAAGGGGGATAGTTGATGATCCGTTTGTACAAACATCTTTGATGTCTGTCTACTCGCAAATGGGTGATTTGAGTAGTGCGTATAAGGTGTTTGACGAAATGCATGAGCCATGTATTATTTCGCAAAATGCGATGCTTGATGCTTTTGGGAAAAATGGGGAGATGGGATTGGCCGTTTCGATGTTTTCAGGTATGGCGAAGAGAGATATTTACTCATGGACGAGTGTTATCAGTGGGTATTATAGAAACGGGTGCTTTAGGGAGGCTATTTGGCTTTTTGGAAAAATGATGGTTCATGAGGATGTAATCAGTGGCTATTTAAAGCCAACTGAGGCTACATTTGTCAGTGTTCTTTCCTCGTGTGCGAATGGGGAAGATGGCTGCTCGTTGAATCAAGGGAAACAAATACATGGATATATGATTAAGATTGAGAAAGAGTTGAGTGTTTTTATAGGCACGTCGTTGATAGCATTCTACGGTAAAATGGGTTGCTTGGGCTATGCCATGAATATGTTTAATTCTATGGCTATTAAGGAGGTGTGTACTTGGAATTCTATCATATGTTCACTGGCATCGAATGGCATGGAAAGGCAGGTCTTGGACATGTTTGAGAGAATGAAGTCTCATGCTTTGCAGCCAAATGAAGTCACATTTGTTGGGGTCCTATCAGCTTGTGCTCGTGCCAAGTTTGTGGACTTGGGTTTGGCATTGTTTCATTCAATGTCGCATGACTTTAACATTGCTCCAAGAATGGAACACTATGGATGTGTAGTCGATCTCTTAGGAAGAGCCGGGCTTTTGGAAGAAGCATACAGGTTTGTAAGGAGCATGCCTTTCAAGGCTGATGCCACTGTGTTGGGGGCTTTATTGAGTGCTTGTAGACTTCACGGGGCTGTCGAGTTGGGGAATGAAGTAGGAAGACAATTAATTCACTTACAACCTTATCATAGTGGACGGTATGTGCTTTTATCTAGCCTTTTTGCCGGAGCAGAGGTATGGACTCGTGCTGCTGAGTTTAGGAAAGCAATGGTGGATGCTGGAATTCAGAAAGTTCCAGCCTTTAGCTTGGTAAATTGAATATAGAAATTCTTCAGTGGCTTTCACCATTTATTGAGATTCGGGACTGGAATATTCATAAGATAACCTTGTGCTCTGCTCGGTGAATTTTGATGTCATTCTTCATGGAAGAAATTTCCAGTCAGTGATGAGTTGCATGAGTCTCTCCGGCTTGAAGTAGTACTTGGCGGTAATCTTCAATGAGAAGATCGAAACAGATTGAATCTCATCACTTGTACAATATTAAATTAGAAGCAAAGAGATATGCTTTGATGTACAATTTACTTTTAGTGTAAAAATGAGACAGAAATTCCAAGTTAAGCAAATTCACTCGGTGCTCAGCAAATTTAATTGCTCCATAAGCTGAAGAACCAGTTATCAGATTCCTTGAACATGTCCTACTCTCCTAAAAGAGTGAGTTGGTTTTAGCACTATTCATAGGGTTGCGTGCCCTTTCCCCCCTCTATTCGACAACTAAGTTATTTTTTATCTCACTATTATTGGAATTCATCTACAATCGTCTTTCAATTACGTTTGCATCATTATTTTCACACGCTACGCCATGCCGCATCCATTTCCCCACACAAACCCATCATTTCATATTCTCTTTTTTCTATTTCGTTTTCTTCTCTCACATGCTGTTGTTCAGCTTTCCTTTTCCTTCCCCTCATGGAATCGCCGATCTACGACCAATAATTTGGTTGCCACCATGTTGAACGTGCCCATCTTCCTTCTTCGGTATGTACAGCTTTTTCTCAGTTGATGAGGCAACTATTTGAATCAATTCTAAGAATAAAATTTTTGTTTTTCGAATTTTGATAATAATTATTTATTAATTAGTTTCATCGCTGAGTGAGCATTTTTAAGTGTAAATTTGTTAACATTTTCGCTTTTTGATGAAAGTAATTTGGGTTAATTTTTGTGATCTTTTTTAGGTCAAAACAGGATTAACGATGGAGTAAATTGTTCCTATGCAGGGATCTGTACGGTTTTTTTTTGCTTTTGGTGTGATTTTCTTATGTTTTAGTGTGTTTCTGTGTGTATGTTGTGTAGATTTCATTTTTATGTGAAGGGTTTAGAATTTGAAGTCTTTCTATTGATTTTTATGATCATCTACAGATTACAGACACCAAATCCTAAATCAGGCATAATCATTTTTCTGAGTAATAACAATAATTTATGTTCATTGGCACTGCTAATGATAGATCATGCTTCTTATGTGATTTGAATGGAAAAACTTGTTTTGTTTTTCATTTAGCATGATACTCGTGTTGATTACGTCTTGGTTGTTAAGGTGGTCTCGTGTAAATCCACTTTTCATTGCTCAATTACATGGTATAATTCTACAACGATGAAATATATATGTACATATAGTCTTTAGAAATTCATACAAAATCCACAATTATTATCTAATCATATAGTCCAAGAAAAAAAAAAATCACATTTAGGTTGAGCGCTGCTGCGCTAGTAACTTTACATATTAATTGCCTAAAATGAAACCCAAATTTTGGTTGAATTTTGAGAGCTTATTTTCCATTTTTTAATTGGTGATATATTGGTGCAGATGTTGTTTATATTAAAAGAGAAACAAAATGGACATGTCTTGTGTTTATGGGCAATATCCCAATTCTACCTTTGGGAAGTCCACTGCCTATCCAAGTTCACTCTTCACAGCTCAGTTTCTAGCAGCGCTTCAAAATAGCGGAATACGTACTTCTAATATCGAGTTCTCGACTCATATAATAGTGTCTAGAGCAGAATTGGATTTAAAGGACTTTAATGTGGATGTCGAGCTTGGCAATGACAAGTTATAGTAGTGGTGCTGGCATTTTGAATGGGAAAGCTGCCAAAAGGTCAGAGACTACAGCTAAAGAACATCAGTTGTTGAGGGTTCGAGAGGAGAAGAGCGCACCAATATGAACATCTTCTTATCATCCTGCTTTGGCAAAGTCTCTCTCTCTCTCTCTCTCTCTCTCTCTCTCATTAAAATTTTGTTTGACTGCCATTTTACAATACTATAAGTGCATGAGTATTTTACTTGTGTTAAGTAGAGGGTGTTGGAAGATGCTTGTAAAAGATTTGGAGCTTCGACCTATTCTGGGAGATACCATTGGTAACCCAGAACATATGAGAAAAAGGGTAAGTTACAGTTTGTTAAAATTTTGTCCAATTGTATAATGATTTTAGGTTGGTTTTGTTCTGTACTGCTGGATGCTTAGTTGATAGATAATGTTTGGTAGATTAATGATCTACTCTCAGTATCTGCATTATTAGATTGAGTAAAATATGACCCCTTGAAGGCTATAGCAAGCAAACCACTTATTGAGTTGGAAAAATGATGAGAACATTTTTTTGTTCTTCAGTAACCTTCCATGTAGATTGCTAAGATCATTTACCTAAATTTCTATTTTTGTAAAATAGGAGGATACGCAAAAATACCAATTGACCTGGTGTAAGATATCACATTGTTCGAGGAACCCACCGGAAATTCCTTCTACCCCTATCGTACTCCAGATTGGTAGTTTCCACAAGGTTTTGAAATGCTGACCACACTGCCTCTCTTCAACCAGATTGCTCAAAGACTAAAATTCTGGAACTTTCATAAAAATGCTATCAAGGAGATAATGTAATTGTGCTTCTGATAGAGCTTTATGCTAAAAGATGGTCATAATCCAAATTGAAATAATATTCATTTTCTTAATCAACTAAGAAATTTCAGAGTTGGGATAGGGGATTGATTGACTGGTATCTCAATGAACCCTACCATGCAGTTGGGGTAAAATTTGTTATCCTGTACTGCAGACAAATATTTAGCATTGTATAACTCAATTTTTGACACATTGGAACTGCAGTAAAATCGCACCTATCCACATGTTTTTACATTTACGCTATTACATTGTCAATTATGTTGTGTCACGTGCCTTGCACGTGCGTCACACTAGTATCTTTAAAAGACACACTTTGTATCCATACAAGGTTTAACTTGTAGAGAAAAAGTGATTCGAGTAATCGAGAAGGGATTATTGCCGTTCTTCACTGTATTCTCTTCTGCCAAACCTAACTCCTAACAAATAGAAAGAAAGGTGCATTCAAGATAATTCTAAAACCAACCTAGTCTAAACTCCATCTAATCCACAGTGAAAATAAATTAAATCTACCTTTTCAAGTATACCTTGTATATGACAACAATTTCTCGCAATAATGAAAAACGGGGTCATACCAATATGACGGAGGTACTTAGTCCTGCAAAACTCGTGTCAATTCTAGACATCGAAATACCCATATCCTTTATCAAGAGACGTTTCCACTTGTATACAGAGTTCAACTATATAATGATTTAACTCAATTGGGTGGTTTAGCGTCTTAAAATTCAATGATTATGCCAACATCAAATTGAACCCACAAACAAAAGCATCAAAATTCAAATGGGTTTTCATGATTATTGCCAATTCAGAAAGGAAAAACTATCAAACTGAATTTGGTTAAAAAAATTCCTCATCATAGAACATTGAAGTTGATTAGAACAAAAATGCAATCTAGAACAGCATTGTGGAACAGAGTACTACAGAGATAAAATGAAAAAGGACTAGTAGTATAAATTTTACCTATTTGGTTTGGAGCATAAAAGAGGAAGTTGCTTGGTAGTGAATGAGCAACGGGGGATCAAATGGGGAAGAGACAAACCCGAACTCGGAATAGGGGCAAACTTTGTCAAACCTGTTCCCAACCTTTAACGTGGTATAGTTATGGGTCCTCAACTTTTAAAAGTGTGAAGTTTCTAGTTCATATCCTATTTAAATATGCAAATTTTGGATTTTCGTGTCACAAAAGCTTCAACTTTGACATTAAAATCACATCCAACTTTTAGATGAGTTTCGAAAAAAAATGCTTAGTGATTTATGATTTTATCCTCTAATTTTGAATCACCCGAAAGAAGAACAACGTATTTATCATTGTTATGCTTTTATTGATCGAAATTCTTTAAAATTTCAATTCAATGGTTGGCTTATATGGGCAGACATAATACTTTGACCTTTTGAGTGACTGAAGAAGAGGTAATAATTTTTCTAAAAATAGATTCGAAGAGTTTTTCATTGAAATTAATATTTAATTAAGTTTTAAAAATAAGAAACTCGCGTAATCTAAGATGGTATCATCCAAGAGCATATTTAAAAGACTTTTTATTTTCAAATTGTGCCTTGATCATAATACAAACCATTTTTAAATTTAAAGGGAAAAAAATTATACTCACTTTTTGCTCTTTATACATTTTACTTTTTTCAAAAATTATTTATTATTTATCCTTATTTTATTAAATTTTTGTATGTCAGTATTTGAAATATTTAATGCAATCATGACAAAATAAAAATAAAGAATGAGTAACGTGGACAAATTTATAGACCAAACTAACTTGATCACCAAATACTGTCCATGCAAAACCTAACATGTGTTGAGACCTTCTCTCAATTGACTTTGCTTTTGCTTTTACTTCTTGAAGAACCTCCTCAAAAAAGTACCCAAAATGGTGTTTGGAAATTAATTTCTAAAAGAACTTCTTCTTTTGAAAGCTACATTAAGTCAGTTATTTCATTAAAAAACACTTCTACAAAATTAACTAAATGGGTTAAAAAATAATTTTTTGATTTCTCAAAATCTAAATTACTAGAGAGAAGATACTTAGAGATTCCATTTCATAAATCATATATTAAATTCACTATTTCAAAATTAGATGTTTTGTAAATTAATTAATATATTTTAAATATTAATAATTATATTACCAAATTAAATATATGTATTCATCTTACTCAACCATACATACTGAAAACCTAATCACTTTCATCCTCTCCATTCTCTGTTCTCTCTCAATCCCAACCTCTCTCATGTCTCTAGTCACCTGCGCGCCGCCACCATCCTTGCTAGCACCACCAAACCATCGTCACCACTACTGCTGGCATGTTGAGCGAAGATGTCGCTCGACACCGTTGCAGTAGCACCGTTGCCGTTGCCGTTGCTGTCGTCGCCATGCGGTCATCACGGTGATGTCTAGTGATTTTAGGATTTGCTTTAGATTTGAGCACAGTGGGCATCATGCAGTGGTGATGATGCTGTCGTCGCTATTCCCAATCATGTGTAATGATTTTAGTGGTGGGTTTGGCATCTGAGCGCAACAGTAATTGCCATGATGTGGAGTGATTTTAGCAGTGGGTTTGGGATCCAAGCGCAGCAGATATCATATTTTGGATCTGATTTATGATGGTTATGCAATAATTTTGCATTTGGTTTCGTAGTGATCCTGGAATGATTTTTGGGTGGGTTTTGTTGGTTGTGGTGGTGGCGGAAGAGGTGGTGCTGGCTGTGGCGACGACGACGTTGGTTGTAGCAGTATTGGTGGTGATCGTGGTCGTGGTGGCTGCGACGGTGATTGTAATAAACTTTTTTCTTGGTGTTGGATCTGCCACGACGATGTTGTAATGTTTTCTAAAATGGGTTGATTTTTTTGATGTGGTGGTGTAACTGTCGAGAGATAGTGGTGGTTTTGGTGAAGGAGGCTGTGATAGTGCCACTGGAGACAGTGAAAAGATGGTGGTTACAAGTGTTGGTAGTGGTCACAAATTATTTGGTTGATTGTGATAATTAAATTGGTTAATCTGTAACCAATGAAAAAGACAAATTGTGATCAAAAAATAATATGTGACCTAAAAAATTATTAATTTGTGATCGATATTTTGATAATTCGTGATTGTATAATAAGTTGTGATTCATAATTTTTGTGATTTGTAACCTATAAATAAATTGTGATTTATAAATTTTTCATTTGTGATCAACGAACAAATTGTGACTTATAAAAATTTTTAATTGTAACCATAAAGTAGTTTGTGACATATAAAATTCTTATTTATGACCAAAAAATAATACGTGACTAACTAAATCATTAATTTGTGATCAAATTGTATAGATCATTGATCTTAATATATTTAATTAATAAAATATATAATTAATGAATTATATCGTAAAGAAATTTTAATAAATATCTGATTTTTGAAATTTGAAACCTTTGTTCTTAGCTTTGAAATGAGTGATACCTAACCTTTTAGTTACGAGTTTTTCCCTTTGAAAAGGGATAATAGTTTATTTGGGCTTGGACTCCTTTTAGACTAGTTGCTAGTGATTGGAATTCAATTGGAATTGGACAAATTGGCTGTGGTTGAAAAAAAAAAAGAAAGAAAAAGGGAAGAAGATGTATACACGAATAGAGGACTAAAAATTGGGGAAGAATTAGACACACACAGACGACAAACAGGGAGAAAAAGACAGACGGCCATGGGGACAAGAAGGAAAATAATTTCAGATGTTTTTGTGCAATAATTCATCGATAATTATACAAGTAGTTTGTGAATTAATCATGTTCTGTCATTTGCTCGGTGATATCGTCTAAACTTTATTTATTTAATTCAGATATTTTGTTACGTTAGATTATTTTTGTACTAAGATTACAATGAAACTTATATCATGAATCTTTGACTCTTGATTTTATTTATTTTTGACATTTAAGGCACATTTTCAATTCATGAATGATTGACATGGATTTAATTTTCTCTACAATTACATACGCAATAGTAGTATGAGTTTTGTGGCTTGTTTCATCTTTGAAATATTGAAAATAAGTTAGACAAAATGTTAGTTGTCTAGAGCTCGATGATTATAGAAATATACTGTTATACTTTACATGATTTTTAAATATTAATAAATCTTTAACGCATTCATATCTCAGACCTTAAGTATTTGGCAATTCCATTTTTGAGAGAACAAGTTTACAATTCCAAACTTAGGTGATAAATAAATAATTAAAAGTATCTTATTAATTACATATATTAAGGTCACAATTATACAATTTATGATCATAATTATGTACTTATAGGTCTCAACTTATTTACTAATCACATATTATCCAATTAATTGATCACAAATTATTTTTCGATCAAAAAATACATTTTTTTATAGATCACAATTTACTTATCGATTACCAATCACAAATGTTATAAATCACAATCCATTTCTCGATCACAAATTATCAAATTAGTTAGTTACAATTTATTTCTCAATCACAAATTATTATTGATCACAAATTATCAATTTTTTAGATTACATGTTAAGTAGTTGGTCACAAATATCAAATATCCCACCCCAATCCCACCACCAACACCAATATTTGATCACAAATCAATCAAATACTTGATAAAAAAACCTAAATAGTTGGTTACAAATAATAGTCATCCCACTCCCACCTCCAACACCAATAGTTGGTCACAGTAATCTAAATAATTGATCATAAAATGATCACAGACACTTATCATTCCACTCCCACCCCAAAATAGTTGGTCACAAACACCTTATTACAAACACTTTTTCACCGTACCGTACCGCACCCATCCCATCCCAACCCAACCCAACCCAACCCAACCCATTTCCCATTCACATTGACACCAATCGAAAGAGCCACTACCACCGCCATGCCACCATCATCTCACCACCATTTGCAAAACACCAACAATAACCAATAAAAACCAATCCCAAAACTCCAACTAAGAAATAGATAGAAGAAAGGAGAAACCACACCAAAATACCCCGAAATCACAGCAAGCACAACACCACCATTTGCAAAGCACGAACAATAACCAATAAAAATCATCCCAAAACACTGATTAAGAAACATATCGAAGGAAGAAGAAACCACACCAAAATTTCCTCTAGGTCGCGACGAACACCACCACCACCACTTGTATCATTGCCATTACTACGATCACTTGCACTGTCGATACCAGCACCACCTCAACACAGCACGACCACCACCTGCTCCGTCACTACCAGCACCACCACACAACACTGCGACCACCACCAACTCAACTTTTATAGTCACCACCTACACCGTCACCTAGGGGTGTCAATGAGCCGAGCAAAAGCTAGGCCAAAAAATTGAGGCTCGAGCCTTACCAAGTCAAGTTGGCTCGATTTTTTTCCATGAAAAAGGTAGCAGCTAGTTGCCTTAGAGGCAGTTGCTTTATTTTTTTAAAAAAATTTCAAGCCTGCCCGCAACCCATACGGGTCGGCTCGAGCTCGGCCCGACAACTCAAATCGAGCCTCGAGTGGGGCCGGCTCAAGCTTTTTACGGACAGGGCCACGGGCAGCCCGAGCCCGTGAGCCAAGTTGCCATCCCTACTATCACCACAACTACAATTTATAAACCACCAACAAAAATCACCCAAAACTCTGATTAAGCAGCATATCGAAAGATGAAGAAATAACACAAAAATCACCTTGAACACTTCATCACCATTGTACAGAGACGACACCATCGTTGAGCGATTTCTCAGCATAGTGTCGCTGCAGCGATGATGTTTTGTAAAGACGATGACACTGTTTATCATCGTAGTGCAGATCATCGTGGCTGCCATCTTCTCTAAAAAATGCTCCTATCTTCTGGCGAAGGTGATCCGTGCAAGGGAGAGATTAAATAGAGGATGGAGGGAGGTGAGAAAAAGGAAATAATTGTTGTTTGTGAATGAAATTTGGTAGCGCGGATGGGATGGGGTGGGGTGAGGTGAATATTGAGATTAATTTAATTTTTTAATATTAATATTCTGAATTAGCACTTAATTTTTGAATTAAAAATTTATGAATTTAAAAGATTGAAAACATGTGTGGGTGTAATTTCCAACTCCAATTTATGATACCTGCTTCGCCTAAGTATAAATAATTAACCTATCAAAATCACTTATTTAAAAATGGTAAAAGAATTATTTAAAAGTAACTTTTTAGCTTCTTTGCTTAGACAAACATGCTTGTTGGTGTCTTTACGCCTGGTTTGTGCACCTTTAATTTCAAAAAATGTATTATGAAATAGTGATTGATGTTAAAATATATGGTTAATTTTTTTTTATTCATGTGTAATATTATTTTAATAAGATATATGTAATTGAAAATGAGTACATTAGAAAAAAAAATATGGTAGAGTGATCGACAAACAAAGTCTTAATCTGGTACTAGTACGGGTATATTGACCGCCAACAAAAGAATCGAAAGATTGCTTATTCATCCCTTGGGGCATAGCCCCGTAGTGGAAAGGACAGAAGTGAGGTTATTTCACGTCTTGCTGACGGTCGCAGTGTGGGAGTTCGATTCCTAAGACATGTAATTACACTTCTTATAGGCGCAGTGTACAAACAACTCTTATTCCTGATCTGTTGGGGACAAATCTCATGATTTATCTCCCTTATAAAGCTCTAGCGGCGAGGCGGCTCTCTAACATTGGGTTCAATCTTTATTTATTTATTTTTTACTTTTATTTTTTTTAAGATTGCTTAATCGCCTGAATGCTGCAAACGAAAACCAGAAAAAAGTAGTAAAATGGAAGAGCAGAGCGGCGGCTCGCGCCGAACACGGTCGCAAGCCGCGCCGGACTGGACTGTGCAGGAATCGGTGATTCTTATAAACGAGATCAACGCGGTGGAATCGGAATGGGGTGGCACGTTGCCATCCTTCCAGAAATGGCAGCAAATAGTGGAAAATTGCAATGCGCTAGAGGTTAACAGGACCTTGAATCAGTGCAAAAGAAAATGGGATGCATTATTAAACGAATACAAGAGGTTGAAGATTGAAGGAGACGTAGGAGGAGCAAATGGATCATTGGATATCGAGGTTTTTAGGGCAATTGACAGGTGTGTCAAGGCCAAAGGGAAGAAGAGCGACAGTCATGGCACGGCGGCTGAGATTGAGGTTGAGACCGTGGCGGAGGTGCAGTCTGTGATGGATACTGACCCGGATTCTGACCCAGAAGCGCAGGGTCCTCCGACCACATTCTTCTTGGAAACGGGTAATTTTATTGTTGTAGTTCAATTTGTTTGTTGAGTCGGCAAATTTAAACCCTTGTTGAGCAATCTAGGCCTAGAAATTTGTTGCGCTTTTGATGTAGTTTTCACAAATATGGTAATTCTTGAGGACATTGAAAAATGATTTATAATATAGGAAGCAGTAGATCCAGTGGTGAATGCTGATACCATATAAGCTGCGCTTAAGAAGTTGTACCTTTTTCAAGTAAAATGAGCTCACAGATGGCCCTTAATGCATTGCTTCTTTTTTAAGAGCCAAATCAAGAATTGGGAGATCCATAGATCAGTTTTCCTTCCCGCAAGAATGACATGACTCGTCTTTGTATTTCATAGGCTTGTTCCCAAACTCATTTTCAACCACATATTCACTCGATACAATAATTTTGCACGTAAACCTAAAACTTTTCCCAACTTTTAGCCGCACATTCTCCAAAAAAAAAAAAAAAATTAAATAAAAAAAATAATAATAACTTTAACAAAATCTATTCTAAAAAAATCTCTACAAACAGGGCCATAATTTACAATTTATACAAAACACATGCAACCTTCATCAGAGATGTATATGAGTTGGGGTGTTAATTTCTGAAAATCCTTTCTTTTTCTCTTAAAAAGACCAGATATTTTCATTATAACAACTTCGTCAGAGTAATGTGTAAGGGTGTTCATTTAAGAAATTCTTTTGCTAATCTAGGGGACAAGTTATTGATTATTATTAAAGGCGGTGAATGTTGACGATACAGTATGTGAAGAACTTGTTCATAAAATTAGTTGTATTTCAGAATATATGTCAATTAACTAGAGTCACAGTATGATTAAATCTTATATTTTATATTTTGAAAGTATTTTTTGATGAAAGTTGTAGATTTTAAAATGCATTAATGGTTTTTTATTATACTTTTCAAATTTTTTGCAGCTTTTAGTTGGAAACAGAAGATTAATCTGTGTTTACTAATTTATAATTTTGTATCATTAGGTACCAAGAAGCAAGGTCAGAGGATGAAGCGCCAAAAGCGCAAGATTCAAAGGTTAAATCCATGGGGATACGTCACGAGTGGGAAAATAATGTTAGAGCAATCCAGCAGAAATGAAAAGATGTATTCAAGTGCAGATGAGGAGAGCAATGTAGAAACAAAGGAAGAAACACTAGCTCAAATTCTACGGGAAAATGCAATGCAGGTTAATGCAATACTTGAAGGAAACCTAGCGGAGGATGTGGAGTACAGATTAGCTGATCTGAAAAACATGGATGCTGTACAGATTGATTTCGCTAGACGCCAAGGTGACAAGCTTATTGACCATTTTGGAAAAATTTCAGATATCCTTAACCAGCTTTGTGATTTAGTCCGACAATGAAACTTGATTTTCATTGGCTAATACCGTGTCTAAATTTTCTCGCATTCTGTAAATGTAGAATGGTAAGAGGACACTGGCAGCCTCTGTAACTTACCAAATGTTCGATTTATTTTATGTTAATTAAGCTCCTAGTCAAGAGTACATCTGATACATTATATGTGCACAAATGCTGTGAATGTAAGAAGAATTTACTATTTACAACAAAGAATCTATGTATAGAGGTTGTAAAACCAAAAGCAAATCATGCTGTGAATGTACAAAGCATATGGTACATGTGTGCAAGTTCTATTGAAAATGGACAACAAAAATGACTTATTTTTCATAAGCTGTTACTGTTTGTTAATCAGAAAGTATAGGATCTTTCACTGCTAGGTTGAGTTTCAAGCTAAATGTAAGTTGGAGTTGAAATCCTGGAGATGCTATTATAGTGAAGGATGGGCAAAATTCCAGAACTCCTATCCAACATTCTCAACTTGTGCCCTCGAGGAATTCTCCAAACCATTTGATTGATAAAATCCATAGACGTCCCTATGGGCATTGGTGATGAGGCATAGCCCCTTGGTTCTTTGTGCTATTTGTATAGAACTGCTTCGATGTTCTCCAAAGCAATAGATGAGAACCTGGCATCAGATTTCTGCAGCTTAAAATTTCATATGAATACATTAAAAATCTTGATTAATTTTACCTTGATCATTTGATGCTGATGGGCCTAGTGTTAGTGCATTTATCCTAATCCTAGCATCAAGCAAAATGAAATCAGTACCAAACAAACACACATTTATAGTGGTACACCCTAAATGTAAGAGCTATGTCCACTTGCCACTTGAAAGTTTACGCCCTGTTTGAGCCGCATTCTTTCAAAAAAAAAAATACATTCTTAAACAAGAATTTGACATCATTTCAACCATATATTCTTCAATAAAATAATATTACACGTAAATTCAAAACTTTTCCTCATTTTTAACCACACATTCTCTATCAATCTACTATTCCAAAATACATTATTTCAAAATAATGTGGCTCAAACACACACTATATTGTGAAGCAATTTACAATTATCTCACTTCTTGTTCTGCATCTCTCATATGTGGGAATATTAAGATGACACATGTACAGAATGCTTAAATACCCTTGAATTCAAGAAACACATAAAAAATCTGCAGTCAACAGGAAAAATATACAATACAATTAGGATCCACGCAGTTCCACAATTAGTAAATTTCGATGCCTATTGGATCTTGAGTCTTAATATGCCATTAGAAATAAATTTTGAATCCAGTGTATTTGGTGAAAATTGATTTTCGTATACTTCAGGGTTTCATTCCTTTTGTAGGTTATAAATGTGCAGCAATATATGAAGTTCAATGCGTAGAATATATCCAAAAAATTTCCAAGATGATGTATGTTAACTTACTCAGTTACTCTAGACACAGAAATGTAGCTACAGCTGGATCACGGATCTGCAGAATTTGAAGTGGTATCTAGTGCAATTACTCTCAGTTTGTTCAATTCTGGCAGGATAACCTTACTAAGATCTGGTCTGTCTTTCCTTTGTAGTTCAGAACACTTGAGTGCTAATTTTGCAAAGCTTAAGGCCTCTTCAACCGGCCAATCAGGGATCGATGGATCGAGCATCTCACCTAAAGTCCCTTTCTTGATCGCTCTTTCAACATGATGAGTCAGACCCATAGGTGGCTTGCCTGTAAGAAGCTGTAAGAATATGATTCCAAGTGAATATATGTCGGACTTAACACCAAGCATGCCAGTTTGTTGATACTCAGGATCAATATAGCAGAATGTTCCAGCAGTAGATGTCACAAGGTATTGAGTGACACTGTCTGCCACAGACGGAGGGACGAGCCGGGCCAAGCCCACATCACCAATTTTACTTACTAAGTTACGGTCAAGCAAAATATTGGCAGGTTTTAGATCACGATGCACAAGTGGCTCAGGCTTCATCTGATGGAGGAAAAGCAGTCCCGTGCCAATTTCAGCAGCGATTTGGAACCTCTGCTGCCAAGATAGTGGAGGAGTTTTTCCATGCTGGAATAAACGGTCTTCTAAGCTTCCGTTGGGCATGTATTCATATACTAAGCAACCATACTCAGGGCAGGCTCCTAGAAGAAGGACCATGTTGGGATGCCGTACAGCACTCAAAATTTCAACCTGGAATTATTGAAATGATACAATAAAATACTAAAATTTAGAGATACGGACCACTTGTATATAAATTGAAGGTACATGATTGATATAAAACATATTGGCATGCTCCCGAAACATGGTTTCTTACAGTGGACTTCTCGTTTAACAAGCCAATTTACTATCCAATACATTGTTCTTTTCTCATTTTTCCGATTCACGTATAACCATGTTTTGTGAAAGCATTTTTATTGCATTCACATACCTCTTGCTGAAACTGAGATCTTCCTTGAGTAGCATCAGGACGAAGAACCTTAACTGCAACAGGAGTGTGGTCAAGATAGCACTTATATACTGGCCCATAACCTCCTTCTCCAATCTTATGACCTTGTGAAAAATAATTCGTGGCAACTTCAATCTCCTCAATTGAGTATTTCCTGTATCTGACATCTGAATTTGCCAAAGCATTTAGTACCTTAATCTTCTCTTCAGCTTCTTTTAGCGCTTTCCTTTCTGCATTAATTCGCTTTTGTGCTTCTAACTCTGCTATTCTCTGTGCAGCTTCAGCATGCTCGAGGGCTGCCCTTGACTTGGCCTTTTCCTTTTCTACAAGTGCCAATGCAGCTTCTTCTGCTAATCGAGCCTCTTCCAGTCTTCGTTGTTCTTCCATTTTCCAGTGCTGGAGCTCTTTTGCCTAAATTATAGATGTTATAGAGACTGCACAAATTATTAAAGACATGAGCAACAGAAAGTTTCTCGTGCCTTTTGTCTTGCTGAGAGTGCTTCCTTGCACGCGGTACTGTACATATCCATAGTTTGCTTGAGCTCCAGCTTTAACCTTCTCATTTCTGCTTCTATTTCCTCCTGTAGTCATAAATTGATTAATAAAAACTCCAGTTTTCTCCACAAATATAGCAAAGAAACTCTGAAATTTGCTATAAACAATATCTGATATCTAGAAGAAATATTTGAAGTGGATGTCCATTTTCCAGCACATTAATCATTTCCAGAAAAGGAAATAATTTCTTTTTTTCTTCTTTTATCATTGAAAAACTCGTAATAAAAATATAAATTTTGAATCCAGGAGATGACAAGCCTGATTTCTTACATACTTTTATTGTACTAAATGTCACTGAGGTCTTATCTCTTTCATCGAAGGTATAAAAGGGATTTTTATGAAAAACACGTTTCATGTCTAAAGATACGGATTAAGCGCCATTTGGAGAGCAAGAACAAAAGCAAGGGATACAGAAAGAAATGAAGTGATGGAGATGTAATTGCTAGAATTAATTCGTTGATTCACATAGAATCCATGTCCTAGGTGTATCCAAAAACATTCTTTTCTAATTCCCATTCCTTGAGGTCGAGGGGAATTCACAATTAAATTCCAAGATACATACACAAGTGCTCATTTTAAACGCATTCTTCCAATTCATTGAACTTAAAAACTTTAAAAGCATAAAGGCATTGAAAACATCCAAATATCAGCAGTCAATTGTATAGTAAATTCTGCCATGTCTTAGTCTGAAACTAATTAACCACTTCTCATAAAAAAAAATATATATATATATATATGTGTGTGTGTGTGTGTGGATAAAATTTCAAATATGTGGAGAGATAATAATGTTCGCAGGTAACTTACGTCTTGTAAATGATGTATGTGGATCTTAAGAAGAGACGACCTTACCATTGACTGTGATGTGGATGTTCTATCATCCTCAAGTGAGGCATACGAAAATTCCAGTGGGATTGTGCCTACCGATTTTCGTCCAAGTTGCCATGACTCAAAAGCGTGATTTTCTATGTCCGATAAGCCTGAAAGCTGGGAAGGGGTATGACCACTTTCAAAGCTTTCACAATATGAAGGAAACATGTCAATGCTTTTCCTTCCAGAGCTGACAAAGGATATGTCAGTGTCTTGTGGCGAGAGATCATATGGTTTGCCATTTGGACCCATCCTGTGAGTAAATGGCGACCTGTTTGCAGTAAAACACTTAAGTTTGCTTTCGTAGGATATATAAAATGTGAAGACATTTAAATGAATAAATATTTCCCTACTTTAACAACTTGAGCATTTAGATGAGATGGTTTAACGTGGTATGCGGGTAGGCAAAGATCCTAAGTCTTGCTGCCACCCATTCATAAAAATTGTTTATGCATTTTACAATGAAAAAATGAACAGGTCTGCACTTGAGAGGGTACATTGCGACAAAACTTAAATGAATAAAATTCATTCTTCTCTCTAATGGCTTAAAGATTTAGAAGAGGCACTTTAATTAAAGTTGCCATATAACAGTAATGCAAAAATCAAATTTTGTCATCATTTTAATGTAGCGTGAAAATTGAAGGCTGATCCCAGTAAGTATTGTGTGGGGTGGGGGGGGGTGGGGGGGCA